GAGAAAAGCCATTTCTCTCTCACGGATCTTCGGGTTTTCATCCCAAATCGTGAGTACCTTTATCTAGTTGTATTATACAGCTTATTAAGTGCTTAATAACATATAAATCATAACAAAAACACAAGATTTGTGAGTTTACCGCCCAAGAACACCTTGGGGAGTAAACTCCTTTTCAAGGGTTAAACGATGCCTAGTCCTTTCCCCGTGATATGTAACCACCTTAGGCTTGTATGCTAGTGTTGTTAAGACTAGAAATCATCCAAGAACACCAATATTTAGGTGTTCACGGCCCAAGAAGTTCTTGGACTGTGGACTCGAAATTCAAAGGCCAAAGAGTGCCTTAATCACTCCTAAAGCCTTGGACAATAGCCTTGATTTGCTTCTAGTGAATTAAGGGACTTTAAATCATCAAATTCCCATTCCCATGAGAGATTACGGCCGTAATCTCTAAGGGAAAAGGTCTTTGGGTCGTGAACATCAAGAAAGGGCACCAAAGTGTGCCTAAGGCCTTCATTAGCCTTAGATAAATGTCTAGAACCTATCCTACATGAGCATGGGACTTGAAAGCATAAAAACATCCCTATTTATATGAGTTTACGGTAGTAAACTCAAAGGGAACTGGCCTTGGGGCCATAAACTCCTCAAAGGAGTGTATAAGTGCCCTAAACCCTTCCAAGGATTAAACCACCAAGTAGAATTGCTTCTAGGGATCATGTAACACTTCAAAACACCAAATGACATTAGACTTAGGAGTTCACGACCATAAACTCAAGGGTTTACGACCGTAAACTCCTTGTGTGGGGTTTATTGGAGAGTAAACTCATGTATGAGGTCACTTGGAACCCTAAACTCACTAGCCTTATCCCACAACAACTTAGATGGAATCCTTAGGGCTTATAACACTTATATAAAGTGTTTATTATATTCTAGGATGTGTTATAAAGTGTGTTCAAGACTTCACTTGTCACCTAATGATCCTACATCTTCAGTTTATCCGTACCGCTCACTACAGGTGAGTTCATACCCCTTAACCAATGATTTAAATGTTTTTAAATGCTTTATGGGGGGGGGGGGGGGGAATACAAGTTAAATACTTATTGTTATTACATCAATCACATGTGATTAATAACTACAAAACCAGTGATTTCTTACTGTTCAAACTGTTTATCAAACTGTATTGTTTTCAAACTGTTTTACAAACTCTTTTACTTATCAAATACTTTTACTTAAACTCTTTTATACTTATTATCAATTGCATGTCTATGTATGTATAGTTATATAAGAAATGTTTAAAAGGCTTAGGAAGGCATGCCCGCCCTATTTCCTTTTCGCGCTTGAGATGTGGTCTGGTGGGATATCGGGTATCCGTCCGAAGGTCATTTAAATATTAATTATATATCATGTGTACATATATAGTCATAAAGGTCCTTCCAGTTCATTCAGTACCCTTGGGTAGCAAGGGTATACTTCCATGTTCATACGTACCAGTTACATCACTAGTAATTTACCATAGGGGTAGCACAGGAGGATACTATTACTATAACTAGAACAATGAAACATACAATGAGTCAGTTCATTCATGAGTCGGTTCGAGTAGTACTCACGGTACATTAATGCTAGATAAAGAGATAACATACATTACAACTAGTACACACAGTACATTACTATACATGCTAGATAGAGAGAACATACATTACAGCTAGCACACGCATAACACTTCAGTACATACATGCTAGACAGAGAAAGATAACACTTTCAGTTAGCACATTCATTACATATACATTTACGCAGTTATGTGAACCATTGGGCGGGTCATGGCACTTCCTACCATGACCGCTCTTGTATCCCGAATCTCCTTAATTGGAGAGCGTATGAGTTTGCGTATAGATCTATATTGGATTGACTATCCTACACCTTTCTGCTCGCTACAGTGAGACTTGCAAGTCTACGGGTTCCAAATGTCATTTCTTACGGCGTCTTACATCATCGTTTAACTAAAGTCGGTAGTAGGATACAGGTCGATCACATGTTATTTGGAACGCCTTTTGTTTTAAGGTAGTTAGCACCACGGTAGTCACTTATTACAAATACTATGGTACGATAATATTTTCCCATTACATTCACTTCGTGAATATTCACACGATGCACGGTAATGTAGTAACTATATTTTTGGTTAATGATAGTCAGAATTGGGAAACACAGACTCTAACAAGAGACATACATACGGACACGAGATGCCTTGGTAGAAGGCTACAGTTAGTAGGAAACATAGGGTTTTCTAGGAGAGTTCAAACATTATACAAAGCATCTTACAGAAACAACTTTCAAACGTTTTTATACAAACTCGGACATTAATATACTTATGATCTCACCAACATTAAGCTGATACTCGCTTTCAAAATAACTTGTATTCTCAGGTCACCACTAGACAGGTACATGTGTCAGGCTTTTGAGAAGATGGAGTTCGTTCAAGACTCATCTTTTATTTTGATATGTATATTTTTGGTGTCTATAACTTTGACAGAACACACATGTATGAAATTATACTATTAATGAAATGGATGATGTTGTTGCTTGTTTACTACTATTCATTGTTGTGATACTGTACATGACGTCCTCCGCCCCAGAATGTTTCCGCCATTCATGGTTTTGGGGTGTGACATGTGGTATTTTGGGGAACTCACTAAGCTTTATGCTTACAGTTGTTGTGTTTTGTGTCTCAGGTACTAGCGAGGACCGTGGGAAGGCGCCGGCGTGATCTGTACACATTATGGAAATGATTTGATTTTTTTGAGATCTTGGGATATGTTATGTTTTGAAAACTATTGTTGAATACTTTTGAGAATATTTTTAAATGAACTTGGTTGACGAAAAATGAAAATTTTGTTTTGAAAATCTCATCGTTACAAATTTAATCAGGAGAATCTTTCCTTTAGTACATCTATAATCCACATGTAAATATGCTTACCATTTAAGTCAATTGGAAGAGTTGATTTGATAGGGGGTTTTGATTAAGAAGGAATACAAACCATCCCAAACACCGTGTTATCATCAGTATATGTATGGGGATGGAAAGAGGACCTAGTCAAAATTTCTAACAATCGGAGAGAATGGATACCAACCAAGCATGTGGGGGTTGGTCATTGTTTTGAATCCAAATAATCCTATTTCACATACAAATGATTTGTTCCAAGATTTCAACCAATTAAACCATAGTCCTTAGGATGTTTTCCTTTTCGACAGTACTTGTATTTTCTTTACTCTGGAAGTGAAGTGTGACATATATAACTCCGACATAACTTACATAACATTCACCAAATCTAGCATTGAACAAACTATTAAAAGTATTTTGATTCCATATACTTATCTGATAAGAGTTCTCTTGGATTTTTGCTACCCAATCGGCTTGGGATTTAAGAGGAATGATAGACTAAGAGGGTAGATCATGATTAATAGCATGGTGTCAAGCCTATCAACACATTTGCATATGAGAATCCAGGCTGTTGACCCCTAAATGAACTGCAATTTATGGATGTGTTATATGTATGAATCCCCTCATAGTTGTTATCTTTCCTATGACACTTGACTAGATTGGTTGATATTCTTGAAGCCAGAGATTTAAAGTTTAAAACTTCCATGAAATCAAAAGGCACAAATTAAATGTTTCTAGTAATGTTTTAAAATGTAGTTCGAACCAACCGATCGAACCAAGAACTAGAGACGAGAGCGGTTCAACAACGAACGGTTTTATATCAAGTTCTATATCAGATCGAACCGGACAGTTTCTTCAAAAAAAATCGTATTGAACCGGTAGAAAACCATTTGAACCAGTTTATTTGACTTTGATTATTGAATTTCACTTAGTTTATTGAGAAATAACCAATTTTCAAAACAAATTGAATAGTGCGATCAATCACCTTATTTGAAGTGTGCACAAATCGAATTGTACACATCATTTCTATAATTGTCAGTTTACTCTTACTTTCGAAGGAAAAAAAATGTTAATTAATAGTTTAAGTTTTAAAATACCTTTAATGGCAAAAAAAAAAAAAAAAAAAAAAAAAATTATATTGATTTATATTTTAAAAATAAAAATATAACCGTGAGTGGATGGGACGGGTCTGTCGCCTGTGAAACGTAGGCCCCACTGGGCCAAGTCATAGTGTTTATCCAGGCTGGCCTTCTATTTGATTACCAGCTACCCAAGTCACTCATTATTGTGAACGTGGGCCACTCGTGTTACTGTTCTTGATTTTTTTTTTTCTTTTTAAATATTTTATAACCAAAATAAATATGTGCCACAATTTGAAATAATTTCCTTTCTATCATAATATGTTATATAATTATAGCACGTGTAATATTAATTTTTGTTATTAAAGTTAGAGTACTTGTAGTATTAGTATAGCCTTTATTATTATCTCATACCGTCGACAAACAAAAGTTAAATTTACAAATTGACTATTTTATCCCCTATTCATCTATTCATTATTCGAGCCTTACTATTTGGCCATTTGTCCTTTGTTTTTTTCCTTCCCATTCCCCTTTAAAACTGATAATAAAAAAATGTTTTTGTAATCTAAAGACAAAATGGAAGTCTAAGTATATTAAGTCTAGAAACAAAATTATATACACAACAAAAATCATTATGCATATAATCATTTTACTCATACATGACTTACCATGAATCTTAAAATAATAAATAAATAAATAAAGTGTAACCTTTTTCATTTAGACTTTCGCAATATGCAAAAAAAAACTATATATTAAGTCTAAAAACAAAATTATATACACAACGAAAATCATTATCCATTTAGTCAATTTACTCATACATGACTTACCATTAAAAAAAAACCATAACTTTTTTTATTTAAACTTTCGGCAACATGAAAAAAACTAATTCATTTAATTTCTTAAAAGCAAAATATTAGTTAGAAAAATTCGATTTTATTGACTCTTCACCAAAGATCAACATGAATAGCAATGAAATATGTTAAACATAATTGGCAATAAACTGATTAATACATTCATAGTAAGAAACAGAATACAATAAACTCCCAATTAGTTATATGTTGAAAGCAAATCTTAAATATCACTTTATTATTATCTTTAAACATTAGCAATTATTACCCAACAATTCCCATTTCCAAATTCCAAATTCCAAATTCCAACCACTCTTCTCCTTCCTCTGACGTCATGCAAATGCAATCAGCCTTCTCTTCCCATTTCCCAGAAGCCGCAGCACCTCTTAATCTGGCATTATTGTAGATCTTTCTATTTCCATGAAAATTTAAAAATAAAAGGATTATCCAAAAGCCAATAATCTTTATATTATTTCTAAGTCGATAAAAGAATCAAGGTCAAAATGGTACTTACACATTTCAACCTGGTTATGCTCAAGAATCCCACAAAACACCAACCATTTCCAGAGAGGCCTATGGTCCATAAACAGAATTAACAAACACCATCATTAGAATAACAGTAAATTACATTTTTAGTCCCTCAAGTATAGCTGATTTTTGCAATTTTGGTCCCAACACGGTTTTTCTCTTGCAACTTTGGTCCTTATTTGAGGTTTTTACTTTTTAGTCCCTGTTCCAATAAAATGACTCAATTTTAGGACCAAAATGTAAATAAAATAACTGCAAAAACTAACTATACCCAAAGATCAAAATCATTAATTTTTACTTGGAACATGAACCAAAACTGTAAAAGAAAACTTTTTGAGAATGAAATTGCGAAAATGGGGTATACTCAGGGACCAAAATTGTAATTTACTCTTACATAAGCAAGTTTTTTTTAAATCTATAAAAAGGGCAACACCTGATATCACTGTAACACAGGCATCATCATCATCAATCATCATTGGATCACCAAATTAACCAATACAAACTCTACCTGCACCCAAAACATCATCAAGATTCAAGAAACACAATTTTTTTTTAAAAAAAAAAAAAAAAAAATCAATCACCTGAAAGCAGGCAAAATTGCAGCTTTTGTTGAAGCAAGTTGGGATGTTGATTAGTTTCAACAAAAAAGTTAGATGACTTCAAGATTGGGTGCTCCTTTTGACAAAACCTGTAAAGCTGTGGTTTTGGTCAACCATGCGGTCAACTCTGGTTGACTTTGAAAAGGTTTGAGAGGATGAAAAGTTCCATCTTGAAGCTTCACTCCATAAACAAATGGAAGCCTGAGGGAGAGGAAGCTCTCTGGCGGCAGTATCACCGGACAACCAAGGCTGAACTGCAGCTTCTTCTGTTCATGGTCATGGTCAACCACTGATGGAGGTAGACATGACACCTGGACATTTTTTTCAGACCCCATTAATTAATTAATCAATTTTTGATAAAAAGATTTCATTTTTTTAGATGTACCTCAAATTGAATAACTGGACATGTAGTCAGGACAACAGGGAAGGGAGGTGTAACCTGCAGAATGCATATAAAGTAAGGGCAAAATGTCATTTTATTTGTAGTGAGCAAACCATTATACTAATTTTGACTATTTTTTTTTAATAAAATAACATTTTTCTAGTTACCTGATATCAGGGGAAAATACAAAAAAGCATAATGGGTTAATCTCATAAAAGACCTTATATTTTGTGTTTTTTCCGGATTAAACCTCAAACTTTATTTTTTGCCTGAAAAAGACCTTGTATTTTTTTCATTTTTTCCAAAAAAGCCCCCAACTTTGTATTTTTTCCGGAAAAAAAAAAAACCCGCATCTTTCTAAATGCTTCCAAATAAACCCTCAACTTTTTTAGTTTTTTTTTTTTTTTTGGAAAAACCCACATTTTACAATTTTCTTGGAAAAAAATGACTAAAAGGGCCCGATCGGAAAAAATGAAAAACACCAGGTCTTTTTCAGGCAAACATAAAGTTGAGGTTTAATCCGGAAAAAACACAAACTATAAGGTCTTTTATGAGATTAACCCAAATATTTAAGTGGTGAAATCAGTAAAATGGTGAAGGTTATGTAAATTTTTGTATTAAATGAGTTACAAAAGGAATTGATGCAATTAAATAATTATAAAAAAGAAGAAATTAAAAAACAAATTCTTACCAGAAATATTCTCTGAAGCTGTGAAATAGTGCCAGCAAATTGAACATTTGGTGAATCATTCTTATTCTTATGGATCTGGCAATGAGGGCAATTTAGGTACAATGGTAAGTTTCTATTTAGTAAAGGAAAAACACCATTCCCATCATCATCAAGAATCATTGACTCAAGACTTCCTTCAATATCTTTGTGACCATTTTGCCCTTGATTACCATTACTCCCTATTTCTTTTGACTTTACTGGATTTCTGACCTTACTAACACCAGGATTCACCATTCTATTTGAGTGTCTATGGATTTTACCATGCCCTCCATATTTACCCATCTTTGACGAATCTACCCCTCTACGATCCAAATTATTTTCAGCAGATTCATCCACTGCATAAATGGATCCAAGCCCTTTTAGATGATCTGGTGTCAATATGAATCTGTGTCCACATGGACATTCATGCTCAAATCCAATGTATACCACCACCTGATTTAAAGAATTGTTCTCCCTTCCATTCATGTTTAACAAATTACCAAAACTACCCTTTTGTAGAAACGGATTTCCATTGGTATTCCCGTTTCCATCTTCATGAACAGAAGACAAAGTCCCGATTTTTTTAGATTCTTGATTATCATGTGGTGTTTCTCCAATGTTCTTCTCTTTATTAACATTTTCCAAAGTTAATAAAGTTTTCTTTTTTAATTGAAGTGGAGGAAACCCAGAACTTGTAGATGATGATCCTGCAACAACTTCAGAAAAAGGTTTTTTCATTGTAAAATTAGGAACAACTTTAGTGGAATTACTCTTATTGTCATCAAGATTCTTGGATTTAGAATTAATCTCCACCCCATTGTCTGTTTTTTTCACCTTTACATCTGAAACAACTTCAACCCTTGAATCTTTACTGAATTCTTTCTGTTTTTCAAGAAAAAATTTCCACTTCAGAAGAAACTTCTCTGTATTTGAAAACCCACTTTGGAGAAGCCCTTTTGAAGGTTGATAGTATCTTGACCCTCCAATTCGAGTCAAACTCCAAGATTTTGACTGAATAGGCCCTTCTGTGTTTCCTTCTGGTAAAAAAAGGGTAGGAAGAAGTTTATCACATTCTGGGTAACAACTAAAGTTCACATTAGCTGCTTCAAAATCAAAAGGGTCTAATCGTAATTTCCTTGATCTCCCACATGCACACGCATGAAGAAAAACAAAACCACTACAATGTGGTAATGAAGAGTCATGTCTTTGATGAATACATGATTTTCCTGTTAAACTAACTGCATCACATAGTTGTCTACCCGAAATCCAAATTGATGTGCATTCGTTTTCCAGTTTTCTCAAATAAAAATCCACAGCTGGACCTTTGACCATTGACTTAAAAGAAGTCAAAGCTTTTGACAAATGGGTTTCATGTTGTGATGTTGGATAACATGGTGGCAAATCGTGTAAGTAGACATCTTTAGCAACAGGTAAAGCTCTTTGACACCAAGAAATTGAAAATTTACTATTCAGCCCTTTACTGTTATCCAAATATGTTGCTGCAAGTTCTAAAGGGTCGTTGACTTTTGTTTGACTTCCTTCAATAACCGAAACCGAAACGTTATTTCGTTGTCTTGATCTTCTTTTGGTTTGTTCAGATTCAGGTATAAACACAGGCTTAGCAGAAAGAAGCCCATGTAAAATGGTTTGACTGGAAGTCAACCAGACATCAAGAGATGGAAGATCAGGAGTTAAAGGCGGAGGCTTTCCAGAAGCTACCGAGGCGGCAGCAGCAGCAGCCGCCACCGCCACCATCCCACCACCACCACCAGAGACACTGATACTCCCTCGACCTCTTAAAATATCACATTGTCTGTAAATGAACTCCTTTAAAGAAAGAATGTCTTCTTTATTTGAACTTTGACTATGGGTTTCAAGTAGAAGTGAGTCTGAAGTTGAGATACCTTCTAGAACATTCTCAACAATGCTAGTGGCAAACTCTAAAGATTCGCCTGAATTGTTTGAGAGTTTATCAAGAAGCAAAACAGCTTTAGACCCATCAAGTGAAAACAAAGGCATATGACTTGAAATGGGTCCGGGTCCATTTCTTGACCCAGGAGGACCCGTTTCAGAGCCCGAAAGTACCCGACATTTTTTGATTGAAAACCGAATTTGTGCTTCAAGAGATGACTGTAGTTTCTTCTTGAAACCACCTTCTGGTTTTGAAACAGGGCGTGAAAGTACAACTACTGAACCAGATCCTTTCATGGGTAAAGTTGATCTAGACTGAGTTGACTCATCTGGGTTAGAAGTAGAAGAAGAAGAAGAAGAAGAAAAAGAACCAGATTCACAGATATCATCAAGAAAAACAAAGAGTATAACTGGAGTACATTGTCCTGGAAATAAAGATGTGTATGAGCCTAAACCTGACATTAATGAGACTGATGAAGGATTGCGAGCCATGGGTGGACCATTTTTACCAGGGGAACGGTTTTTGGAAGGTGTTCTTGAAGGAGAAGTGTGTGAAGAAGAAGATGTGTGTGATCTTGATGTTGTTGATTGTTGTGTTTGTGATTTAATAAATGGAAACATTGCATGTTTAGCACCTTGTAACACTCGAAACTTTTTTAGATTTTGGATATCAAAGCGTGAGCCTTCTTGTATAAATATGATCACATGGCAAACCTGTGTTCATGATCACAATGAGTTAATAACAAATTGAGTAAGGTTATTCAAGAATCAATGTGGTGATCTAAACTAATTTAAAAAGATTGAGACAAATCCAAGAGAAATATAGCCAATATCACACCTAATGAGTTAGGTGTTAGCCTTGTTACCAAGAAACCTAGATCTTAATGAAGTTCATATAAACATATCCAAATTGCAATCACATATTAACGAAACCAAACAACAATAAACAGATGCTAAGGCAACAGTCAAAGTCTTAAAGCATAGAAAAGAGATAAATCACTAAGAAAATCGGTGAATTTGGTTCAAACAAACTTACAGAAAACATAAACAGCATCCCTTGAAGATCCCCAAACTCCTGCTTTTCAAAAACCGAATCAAACCCACTTGGGACCTCCGAAAACCCTTCCATAACCGGACACTTGGTGGAGCAAAACTGCAAATACAAAACCCCCTTTGTCTCCTCATGATAATAACTAATTTGTCTTTGCTTAAACCAATCCTTGACCTCATCCGTCACGATTTCCCCTGTTTTCTCAAACCCCAATGCTACGTCAGCATCCCCGGAACCAAACACATTGGAATCTATAATCCGGTTGATTAATTGGCTCACGTCACCTTTGCGCCGGCCGACGAATCCGACAACGACAACGCTGTTTTGCCGGAATGTTGTTGAAGGGGGAGGAGGGGGAGGGAGAGGTGGAAGAGCCGATGGTGGTGGTGGTGGTGGTTGATGGATGGCAGCGGGTGGTGGTAGAACAGTGGTGGTGGAAGGAAGAGTGATAGGAGAAGATGATGGAGGACGGATTAGAACACGCATAGGGGAGCGATTGGGTGCCGCCATGGAGAGTGAAGGGTGGGATTTGAACCGGGCTCTCTTCTATTTTGGGAGAAACTCCATTGAAATTCATCAAATAACCAATGTATTGTCCCCTTTCAACAAAAGAAAGTGCAAGGGCTACATTGAAAAATTAAAGATTCTGAGGAAATTACAAATATAGTCCCTAATCTATTTGTTAGTTAGCATACTTGGTCCTTTATCGAAACCAACATCTTTGGGCCTTGAATTTGGGCCATAACTTTCGATCACAATAGGATTCAAATTTTACTTCTACATTATCTGGACACAAGTCGGATTATTTGAAATCTTTTTTTTTTTTTTTTTTTTTGATAGGGTCGGATTTTGGATAATATTCGGCTGGGTTTTTGGATTTTGCATTTAAAATTATCAAATTTTGGATCGGGTCGGAGATATACATATAATTAACTTAATGCTTTTTCCGATTTTGTATGGCAATGATAGGATTTTTTTCCGGATAAGTATTTGGGATTTTTAAAACAAATTAAGATTTGGGTAGATATGTAGATGGGATTTTTAAAACGAATTAAAATATTTGGGATTTTTAAAACGAATTAAAATTTGGTCGGATTTTAGATGATGTTTGTCCAATCTTGTTAAGTACTCTACTGGTAGTGCATATGAGAGTATTCTTATCTTTTTATCATATGCTTTACTTTGAATAGTGAGGTATGTGGATTTTTTTTGTCCATTGATCAACCATAATTCTCTTACCCTATAGAACATTTTTATTTGTATTGATCAACCACAATTCTCTTACCCTATAGTCTATCCTTCTTCTTTTTTTTATTCCATGTTTTCTTCAATGCTTCAATAATAGACTTTTGTAACTATACGGTTGAATCAATGATTAAAAAAACAATTTGGAGAGCATTAAACATAATAAGACATGTTTTTGGATGTTCTATATATGTAAGCATTCACTCTTTCATCGTCTTTGTTGTAACATTCCATTTTTGATGTTTTTAAATACTAATATGCCAACACAATTCATCACACATATCAACCAAACCATAGCAATCAATTCAAAATTTACAAAGATCAAATATAGTTGTCCACAAAAGCTTTACTCAATCAAACTTTAAGAGGCTTCAAGCATTCCACATACGGACACTTACATCTAGGAGCTTGTACTTGACTACATGACATTAAACATAATACGTAAGGCGAAAAGTTCTTGTGGACTATATGTGTTTATTCATATTATCCAAACCATAGCAATCAATTAAAATTTTACAAAGATCAAATATAGCAGTCCACAAAAGCTCTACTCTGTCTAACTTTAAGACACTTCATGCATTCCACATACGGACACTTACATCTAGGAGTTTGTACCTAGCTACATGACATTAAACAAAATACATAAGGCGAAAACTTCTTGTGGACTATATGTGTTTAGATGCAAAATAATAATAATAATAATAATTAATTAATTATAAAACTATTTACATATAAAACTCTTTACTTTACGCTAAAAAAGCTTTTACCAAAACTCTTTACTTTATTTTTAAAAGTTTCTATAAGACTCTTTTATTTAATTTCCAAAACTTTCTCAAAACATTAACTTTTACTTCCCAGACTATGCAATAACACGTATGAAATGCATGATGTGATTATAGTGCTTTCTTGAGTACTACTAATGTCTCTTATCATCGGATGGTTACCAATTTTGGATTTTTATTCTTAGGTTCTAACCACATTTGTGATACCCCAAGCCTGGACCAATACGAGAATGACATATCAACTCGTCTTAGGTCTACCACAACAAGACATCTACTTTACGGAGTGTAACACCCACTTTCCGAAGAAGATTGGACAAGACTTAAGGAATCAAAATAAGGTTTTTGGAGAAGACCTTGTGCCACGACGTGGGGCATGGGTGCCCACAACGTGGCGTGAGATTTAATGAAACATGTGTTTTGAAGATTCAACGACGTGGCATAAAATGTTCAAGTCGTGGCAGCCGCTAGTGGTCACAACTTATCCATTAAGCTGGTGTGGAAGAGTAGATCTAGAAGTATGAGCTTTCATCTGAAAGGATTGAGTTCTTAATGATAGAAATGACATTTTGTGGTCACGATGTGGCAAAGTCTAAAATCGTGATTGTCTTATTCTGGCATTGCCACGATGTGGCCAAGGAGGGTCACGACATGGCGATGTCTTACATGTTGACTGTCTGACCTTGTGACCCCACGACATGGCGTTAACTTTGCCAATTTGACTGTTGACTTTTGACCAGTTTGACTTAGGGTCAAACTTGAAGGATTTAGGCATTTTGATTAAGATTCTACCATGTTTCAGTACTAGTAGGCTCATGGGAGCAATTAGTGCAGAAAGGGAGAGTGTCACAATAATTTTGGATTCTTCGATTCAAGTGAGTTTTCCTCACTGCACTCGTGGGTCAAAGGCACCAATGTGGACCCACTAGTTTTGGTTATTATTTAGTATAGGGGTGACATAGGGTTGTATGTATCCATGTAGGATAAATTGAGAACTCTTGATCTAGGCTTTTTGCATGTTCCTTGTTTGGTTGTGGCTCTAGAGTAGGATCATCAGCCCGGATGTCTATCTCATCTTTAGATGCATATTGTTATGCATTCTTTGGAGATTTGGTTGTATGTCCTTGTGTATAAGATGTTGATGTGTTGTAGTGAGTTGTTATATATATATATATATATATATATATATATATATATATATATATATATATACAGTTGTATGTTAGGATGCATCAGTAGTGGTGTATTTGTTAGAGTACCAGTAAGTTGGTTATCGTCTAGTAGAAAGCCCAATGGATTGTATGTAGCAATCTAGGATACCTTGAGAACTATCAATATATGCTTTCTTGCATGTTCCTTATTTGGTTATGGCTCTATAGCAGGATCATTTGCTCGAGTGGCTATCTCACCTCTGATTCCTTATGGTTATGCATTCCATGGAGAGTTGTCGGTAGCGGAGTAGTGTGTTGTGAAGGGTCTAGTAGGCAGTAGTGACTTGTATGATTGGTAGTTGCCTATATGTATGTGCCTCCTTGCTCTCTTGTTTGTTTATATGTCGATATATTGTGGCAGTTGAGGTTGAGGCGGTCATGTTGTGTGCTATAGGCCAAGAGACCAGGTGCGATCCCGCTGTAATTCATAGGCATGGAGACTCGGGAAGAGCGGTTGGATTAAGGTAGAAGGCCAACATACTTTAGGTAATCCAGTTTGATGATTGTGGACCCAGTATGCATGATTATATATGTCCTGTCGTGTGCGGTATTTTGGGGGAACTCACTAAGCTTTGTGCTTACCCGATTGTTTAAGTTTTTAGGTTGTATCGGTGATCGTTTGAAGGTGTAGACGTGATTTTACACACTCATTAACAACATTGAGGATTTTGTGTTGATTATATTACTCTGTTTTTTGACAAATGTAATTTGGAATAAATGGTTTTCTTAAAATGGATTTATAATTATGAAATTTACCTTAATAAAAATGAAAATTTTTTGTTGTGAAAATGGGACATTATAAGTTGGTGTTAGAGCCTTGGTTTGAGGAATTTGGAGGAACACTTGTGTGAATCCAAACTCAAGCTACTAGCAATAATGATACCTTTAAAAGTGTTTCAAAAAAGTATTTTCATTATAAGTAAACCATATTTAAATAAGCTTTGAAAAATCCAAACAATGTCTTGGTATAAGTAATTTCATGCTTAAAATGGTTTTTAAATGAACCAAGTTTATGAGTTGTAGTAAGATATATATATATATATATATATATATATATATATATATATATATATATATATATATATATATATTCGATTAAATGTCTATAGTAAGTCCTATAACTGAGCTACATGACTTGAGTGTACCCTACTACAACGTTGCATTGGACGTTGCAGTAACGATTGTAGACACTTATCACCCATTTCGATTGAACAGTCGAGGTTGTAGCTAGCAACCACATGTGAGGATGTCAACCCCGTATAGATCTATACATATGTATCTCGCTCCGAAGATTAAAGGTTATAGTAGTGTGCGTATGCTAAGTGTTTGGACTCAGCTAATGAATAAAGTCTCACTAAAATGACCTTAACTAAAAAGTTTGTGAATAGTTATCAACCCTAACTTAATTGTGATTAAGTCACTAGGTGTAACATCTGAGTTCATGTATTTCCCTTTTAAGTTTTTTTTTTTTTTTTTTAAATTTTAGTTGTCAAAGAAGACCCCTCGTACGTTGGGCGTACGTGCATATACGCTTAGCGTACAGAGGCACGCATGATCAGGCAACTGAGCCTCGTACATGGGGCGTACGAGGAGCTACACGGGGCGTACGTGACATGTTTCTAAAACCCTAATCTTTGGACTTGTCCCCTATTTAAAGCCATTTATGGTCTTTAGAACCTCACCTTTTCCAGTATCTTTACCTCTAAACATCCTAAAAACCCTAAATAGGCATTAGAGGTGATTTTGACCTTGAAGTAACAAAAAAGAGCCATTTTTAGTGTGTTTGATATAAGAAGATCTTGTGGTGTAAGTCTTGGACATGGTTGAACTTCTAGATCAAGCATCCACATCATCTTAGGAAGATTCTGGAGGTATAAAGTTCATATATTGCTTATATCTCTTCTTAAACTTGTTTTGGTCCTTTTTGGGTCCCTTTTATTGGTCTTGAAGAGTTAAGACCATTTGAGATGACAATCTTGTAGATATGGACGTTTAGGGGACTCCTTAAGCCTAAAGGTACAACCTTTATGGTGTTTGTGACCTCCATACAAGTATCAAGTCATTTATTAAGCTCTTTTGAGATTTAAGACCTTATTAAGCCTTGCATGCATGTAAAGTTTGCAACTTTACATGATGAACCACTTCAAGGAGATCAGATCTGAGTCTTGGGATTAATGTCTTAACCAATTAAGAGATAAAATGCAAAGTTGGCAAGCATGAGGAGGACATTAGACGTACAAGCTCGTACGCGCAACGTACAGGACCTTAAGCATGTACGCTTAGTTTACAAGCTGAGTACACTCTGCGTACTCAGTAGTAGTTTGCGATGTTTGGGACTTTGGTGGTG